CACAAGGTCCGGTTCAATACAGCACACAAAATTCGTGATCTGATCCCATCCGTGAAGGATGTAATTCCTGACTTACAGTACCCCGGGGTTTACAAATTGAGTTGTACCTGCGGTAATTGCTATATCGGGGAGACAAAGCGACATGTCTCTGACCGAATTCGCGAGCACAAATCAGATTTGAAACACGGCAGAACGAATTCTTCTGCCGTAGCTGATCACTGTTACAACGCTGTGGATGATCACGATATAATTTTCTCCGATACCAAGGTTCTTTGCAAACCCACGGGTTTTTATCAGAGATTTGTTCACGAGGCAATTCAGATCTACAAACACCGACACAATTTCAACCGAGAAGATGGTTTCAAATTAAGAAACCATTGGAAAGATGTTCTAAATCGAACCAAACATTAAACTAATTTTCAATGGTACAGTATATTTTTCAAGTAGTGGTACCTCAAACTTTCGCAGCTCTTAAAAATTCCCTTTTCACACCATCAATAGGTAAACTCCCCCTCCCCCCCTCGCCAACCGGCATGTTCACCCGCATGTACACCACCTCTACACCGTTCATCATGCTAAGTCGGCTAATCAAATGCTATTTTTTATGCTAATTCCTTTGTCAGGACACCTTGTTTCCTCGCACACAGCTTAAAGGTCGCGGTCTGAGCGTGGCTGTGTTTCACTCCAGCGCTGTCCTCGAGACAGCCTGGTCCCTTCACCTGATGAAGGCCGCTTGTGTTGTGGCCGAAACGTCGTGATTTTTGTTGTTTTATTTTTTACCTACGTGACTTTACCGAATAGAACCAAAGAGTTTGGATCCTTGCAGTCACGAAAGCTTTAAATCTAGAACCTTTTGTGGTATTTAGTCATTGCAGATGTAAGCACAGTACTCACATCCAGTGCCTGGGATTCGCCTATTGTGGGTTTGTTTTCGGTACGTCTTAGATGTAAGACGTTATTTGGACTACAATACCAGTATTATATTGGCAGGCAGAATGTTTACAAATGCTATTTTTTTGCGTACCGTATATTGTGCAACTGCAGATATATATTCTGAGTTGCTCATTGTGCACATGCAGATATACATTCTGAATTTCCAAGGTCATGTTATATTTCTGCAGCTGTCAACGCAATGCACATATTTGTTGATTTAAATAGATTGGACTCACTTCAACGATGATGCTACGTTGGGTGTTGGCAAACCAGACCACAAGATTAGGACGCATATAAAATTTATGATGCGCGTGAATGTGCTATTTTCATAAACACGCAATATTCAACGCTGACAATTTGACAATATTTTTTTAACAGGCCGAATTTTTTTTAATGTAAAATGTCATGCATTGAAGTTTTCAGGTGTTGGAGAGTGAATAAAATGATAGACTCATAAGAAACATAACAAATATACATTTTGTTTACTCAGTTTACAAATCTTCACCATATGCACTGTCCTTCGTCTTCAATAGCATAAAACAATTAATGAAGACTTTCACATTCTCATATTATATTCATATTATCATATTAATTCGTGCCCTAAGCGTCGTGTGCAAGTGTACATTTGATAGCTGCTTAACCAATAACACATTTGTACAATAGGTGGCAGCACATCCCAGATGGTGAGATGGTAGACAAAAAAAATGTCTTCTGGAAAATAATTACGGTACATTACAGTATATGGAAAATGTATGTAATATTAATGATCACAGAAATCATATATAATGTCTATGATTTGACTCCGTTGTAAATTACGTCATAGGCGAGGATGTATTTTTACGTGTCTAGACATGACATGACAAACAGGGTGTTTGTTGAAAGTATTGCACGTGATGTCGGCTGGCGTTGTGAAGCGCTTCCAGGAGGAGGCCCCTTGATGGAAACACAGGCACACATTTATATGGGCACGATGAAGCAATGCTAAACCAGTTGGCAGAACTAGCCACGTGTTTTCGCTTGCAAATTAAGACACCCTGTCATCAGCAATACACAATCTACATTTAGCACTGTCATGCTATAATGCCTTCATATTCACGATGAAGTATTATAGAGGTAGTTTTTTTTGTGTGTGTAATAATCTACGTATTTTGCTATCCGCATTTAGATTCATTATTGGGCATCTTCACGCTGTTCATACCAAATACGGATGGCATTTGGACGTGAGAGACGGCTTTCCACCCTCATTCCGTTGAGGCGTCAGAACTACCCCGAATCTGTATGGATTTGTTAATGTCAAGCAGACAATGTGTTGCGTAATGCGTAAAATCTCTTCATTTTATAGACCATTCGGTGTAGTGCTGATGCATGTGTGCAGGAGTGGCTTTTTAACCATGACCAGATCATTCATATATGGAATCTCGGGATAGCAATAATAATCATCTTTGCATTTATATGGCTCTTGATTACATTCCTCAGCAACACAACGTGGTTTGTATCATCTCAAACAATTCGAGGCACCCCCGAGGGGCAGCTATTCCTGTGTCGCACAAAGTGACTCAGTATCGGCCCGCAATTCGGTCTGCCAGTAGAGGGCGATGGTCGCTATGTGCAATCCCAAATTGAAAACTAATTGCGGAGTCATTTTTGAATTCGCCAAATTTAAACCATGACGCAGGCACACAGTGGCCTACTCGTTTCGATCAACGGCAGCGGGGCATTAACATATACTCTGAAATAGACAGTACATATGCATGGTTAATGTACCCGCAGAATTAACCCGGGTTGTCCTGCCAGATTGGAACCGAGAAAATAAGCGAACGTCCTACCGCTGGGCCATGTCACCGCACTGGAGTGGATTTCAAACTTTCCCTACCAGCTCCAGGATGTCATTAATATAATAATTACAAGAATATATATGCAGTTCAGTTACATTGTTTTAAACAAGTGTAAACGTGCAGGAATTTCACTTGGATGTGTAAATCTGCTTCAGTTCTAATGAATTTTTTTAAAATTAAGGGTACATATGCAGCCTGGAAAATTGCGAGCCCTCGCCACTGCTGGCAGAAGGAGCTCTAGAGAGCACATCGCGAGGGTATTTTTGGCCTACTCTTCCACTCTGTTTATAGATAGTCCAGTGTATTTAATAAAAAAAACAGTGCTCATACAGCCCTTTGTCAAATGCTGGATGAAGGCCTATTCCGCGCTGTGTGAGTCATAGATTTTTACGTACTTCACCAGGCTGGCCAGAGCACGTTGGTGAGGGTTGGGGCCAAAACGGTTTCAGATATTATTCGCCACTGACGTTAGCCGTGGCTGGGAATCAAAATCAGGTCTCTGCATTCATAGCAAGAACAGTACACGAACCACTCCACTTATATATCTATTTACAGTATATTTTAGAAAAAAATGTGTATTATTGAAACGTTTACTTGACCCCTTTATTTTGTTGATACTCTTGACTATGCAGTACATTGCATTTCCATAAACTGAAACTGAATTTCCTCAGCCATCTGTGCTGTCAATTCACCTGCCCCCTGTTTAAGTCCACGCTCAATGTATTTTAAAAAAAATCCATGGCTGCCTCTATTAAACATGCCCATTGTTTTTGTACCGTATCGTCCTTAAATGTCGTATACGCTATACGTAGCCAAAGGATATTAATGCATATCTAAGGTCTCCTTTGTAATTATAAATGCCATGTATGTTAACGGTACAAAAAACAAGTCATACCGCACGATACAGTGCAGTAATGTGTCACCTATAGTCTGTATGTTTATTGAAATGTTCACTATTTGTATTTATTTAATTATAACGGTAATGTTTTATTCGTTGAATGTTAGGATCAGCGTGGAAGAGTAGGCCTAATACACTGACTGTAGAGGGTTGTCCCTCTACAGCTATCTCTAGTCGAGACCATTCCATGACCAATTGCAGGGCTGCGCCTTCATCGTTACCAATGCAATCTCATGATATTTTGTCATTTGTGAGAGATCTGTACAGGAATGTGTCGGTGTGAGTGAATCGGTGCTCGCCAACGTAAATTTAGCGAACAGTCTGTGGCAATAAATATGAGCGGTCTCTATATTTTTGGGGAGTACTATGCAAAACAACGCGTGATTAAATGTATACTTGTAAATGATTTATTCGTGCGTTGAATAAGACTCTGACAATATATAATTAAGCTGTAAATTATTGCAGCGATCCAGCACGAATTGTTTGAACAGGTTTGACTGGTGATGACAAGCTAACGAACGGAGCAGGTAATAAGTTTGTTTAAACACACGATGCTGTATAACAGCCGTGGCTGGAGCGGTGGCGCGCTACGCTATAAACCCCATGGACCTGAGTTCGATTCTCGGTCCAGGCTAGCATCAGTGGGCGAGTGATCTCTGAAACGTGATCATGGGTCTCCCCCATCATCAACTCCTATTGGCCAGCGTGGTGAAGTATGGTCAAACGACCCCATGTAAATGAATTGTTTGGTCTCAAAAACAACGGAGGCTGATGACTACTTTTTTATATAATACTCTTGTTGTCGTAATACTAGCGATGGCGGTGTGCAAACACAATAAACATAATCTACACATTCGTCAACAACACTGACCTAGAGAGGAAACAATTGCCCTTCTTCATAGCAGATAGAAGGGCCATTGCCCGAACAGTCGCCTTTTTATATTGTGTCTCTCAAGGAGTATTATTGACGAATCTGTTGTCTGTTTAAAAAAAAAAACAACACTTCACAGCTATGTGGAGAGACGAACCAATGTATTTTTTCGTGGGGTAGGTCAACTTTCACAAAATTCACAGTAAAACCCTTCGTAGCCGGCGTAGCCAGACTCAGCAGACGCCCGATTGTCACAGCATGCCAACGAGCTGCGTGCATTCGATGACGCAGCAGAGCGCGCGTGGGTTCGGGATGGGAACTCCAATTTGTTCACCCCCTCTCCATCCCATCCCTCCTCCCTCCCCCTCTCTCCATCTACAGCCGTTCTCCCACCTCCCTCCACCCTTTTGTCCCCAGCGTGCCCCCCCCCCCCAACTCCTTCTCTCCTTTCCCTCCCCTGCCTTCCTCCCTCCCTTCCATCTCGACCTCCCTCCGTCCCAAAGCCTCACTCACTCTCACAACCACTGAAACTTTGTGCGCTACGACGTGACTGCCTCGCCTCCTACAGCACCACCTCCGGGCAACGCTGTCTTCAAACTCACCTCTGGAAAGGAGCTCCGCTACTGTTGGAGCTATTGGTTATTGTGGGAGGTTGGGCTGGGGCTGGTGCTGTTGGCGAACATCATTTGCACAAGAGCTCTTCTTGGCCCCATCTGCTCTCCAGCACCCACGAGCACATCCTGCCCTACATCTTCCTACATTCGGCTGCACCTGGGATGCGCAGTCATCTCTGTGCTGTGGCTGGTGGCTATTTCCATAGGTGAGTTTCGAACGTGGGTTCATTTAATTAATATTCAACGATTGCGTGTTAAATTTTACGTGATGAAAGCCATCAGCAGGGCTTCTCCGAGAATGCTGGTGATTGATAATGAGTCCCCCTTTCCCCTCTACAAATTCGCAGCTAAACATCTGTGGAAAGCTGGGTGAGAGAGATATTGCTCAATAAACACATCTGCCTCTGGTCCAACGGGATTTCGTGTTAACTTACTGCGGTGTATTTGCGTGCCCTCTATCACTGTCGCGACTCTGCTCCCAGTCATCAGCGAATTTGTGTTGCAGCTGAAAGCGAGATGAAGTCTTGATTAGAGTGATCGTGAGGCTGAAACGCTTTTGTATAAAGATAATTGTGGACTTGCGTTTGATTGGTAACCGCAGTCAAAAAAAAATCACGCTACGTGAAGGCTATTGTACGAAGTACGAATCAATTCGCATTCGCTCTTGTTTCGAGCATATCTGCGACTGTAATGCCCTGAATTGTTCGCGGTTTGTTTTTGGGCAAGCTTGAGATTACTTTCGTGCACAATATCGTACAACAACAACACCGTTCAGAATGATGCGCGTGTGTGTGTGTGTCTGGAAAACTTGTGCACCGTTGTTGTCTTCGCTACAACCAAACTAAGGTGACCCTTGGCTTAAGGCTGGACTTTGATCAGGAATTATATGACGCATTAAATTGATTTTCATCAGAATCGCCGCCGAAATAATTTAAATTCCGTCGCGTGATTATGACCGATGAAGGTTTGGATGAGGGTGAAATGTGCAATTAATATCAATGGCACCTTGTTCTTTTCTTATATCGCTGGCGCAGTATTCAAAACCACAGCTCAATTGTTCTCGGTAACGTGTTGTAATTGCTAATCAATCGGGCACGTGCCCACTTGAAATAAAGATTGCATAGAAACCGCTTTGTGCGCAAACGACATCGATCACACATTTTTTCATCTTCTATACGGGCATACAATCTTCCTCATATTAACTCCCTCAACATCACAGCGGGGCGAGGGGGGGGGGACTGGGAGGAGCGGGGGAGGTACAATTCGAATGTGGTGATGCCACCGTGGTCAGAATGTTGACTGCATCGCCTGGTATACAGGAGGTCGTGGGTTTAGTCCAGACCCTGACGTATGTCTATTTGGAGTTTGCATGTTCCATCTCCCCGTGGAAACATGTGGATTTTTCTCCGAGTCCTCCGCTTTTCCCCTCCACATTTAGCAACATGCGTTGTAGAGCATTTGGCTGCTATAAAATTCCACACGACGAGCCACTTCGTTGGGCTATCATTTGTGGCCAGGTCGCTTTTGAAAAAAGTGAATGGCTATATAGCTCAGTGGGCCCTTTCTGCTAAAATATATATTTTTTTAGTCTAGATCATGATGTCTTTTAACACACCGCGGACCCCAATGCCGTTTGCGTGCGTCAATAGATAAGGGTGTAGCCGTGGGAGGCGCTCTATGGCAGTGCTGAATGAAATGTACAATAACCAATCGCTGTGACGTGCATACCAGGAGCGATATACGCGCACGTGTGTTATTGTCTGGCCGCCTGTTTTAAGGTGAATAACAATAACGGTAGTGATGTTAATTTTGATGGATGCATTAACAGCATTTTCATTTGGTCGCAAACAAAAACAAAGGCAATGATGAATCTCTGCAATATATACTGCTCACTCCTCTGCTGGTAGACGGGTCTAAAAAGTACCTTGATGTACTATTGATGTATTAGTAGCATTGTCATAAAATAATCGTTTTTTTAAAAGGAAATTAAACATATGGCCAAAGCCTGGCCCATACATACATCTCAACACTGGTACTAATGTATGGGCATTAGTAGCGTAACTAGCTACTGATGGGGGCAGGGGGCAGGGGGTGGCCAAAGTTCTGAGTTGGGACCTCTTGGACAACTGCCATGAGATTTGTTTTCAACAACAGTGTAAAAAAAACAGAAACTTATTTAAAACGCGGTTTAAATGTATTTTTGCTAAAAATGCTTTCAGCTACGCTCCACGTTTCATTTAATCAAATTACAGCGGTAACATTTGGCTTCAGAAAATTGCGCATCGCATGTTTGTTTCTATTTTGTTGCCATCAAAGTGTAACCAGGTCGACGAGCAGTACCTTTATTTCGGGTTGTGTATGTTAGTGTAACTTTTACGTAGCTATTTAGATATTTAGTATTGGAAATAATAACACTTTTTACCGGAAAGAAACGTCATGTAACGTAATAAAACGCAATTTCCTTGAATGATAGTAACTTGAGTAAAATAATATTGGACATAGAACTCTGTTTCTGGGATATTTATTTCATTAGATACACGTCAATTATATTACAAAGAGGTAGTACGGAGCTGTAGTGGTTGCATTTTGCGAAAACGGAGCGCCCCATGCAGTGTTAAATGTTTGAGACCGTGAGCGTAATATTGTGATGAGGCAAGAGGAGCCGGGATTTATATCCTTGGCGCGACTGTGCGAGGCAAATCTAATATTGGTGCCACACCTAACCGAGCGCTGCACCGCCTAAGCTGATAAAATGTAGATACTACGCCACTCATGGGGCATCGTCTAAGCCAGTGCTTCAACATTTTCCATGCTGCGGCATACTTTTGAGCTTGCTCCATTTTCGTGGCACACCGAACCAAAACATCACTGTGGACCCGCGTAGTGAGGAGGGTCGTGGGTGGGTGATGCTTTGTAGCAGCTGTTTGGCCGACTGCTCGTCCGTGACCGAGTGAACGGAGAGGACCGCTGGTGGGGGTTGGATTGGCCACTGAACGGCACGGAGAGTGTGTCCCAGCCTGCAAATGTTCAGGCTCTTTCCGATAATTCGGAAAATACCATAGTTACCCCTCGGACATTGCCACAGCGCAGTGGCCTAAAACCTATACGTAGAAACACCACAACATACGTATGCGCTAGCCGCAGTCTAACCCACACTCAAATCGAAGGCAGAACCATGCATTGCAATTTCCTGAAAATTTCATGCACACCCTGTCTGAAAACTCAAGCAGCAGCCATTCAGATGTACCGCAAGGTCTAGCAGAGGTTGTCAAATTGTATATCTCAACTGCCAGGGAATAATCAGGAGAACTTATAAAGACGGCTACTAAGCGGGGCCAAAGCTGAGTATGAGTGAAAGCAAAGTCAAGTACCACATGTTGGCTAAACAAAAGTAAATCATCGTTTGAGGGACACAACTCAAAAACTCAAGTATTGATAATATCAATTGCAGAAGGTAGACGATGATCAGAATTATGATGTAAAGAGGTGAGTTGAGAGCAGGATAGATTGCTTGCTGTAAATTTAATTTAATAATCAAAAGCAACACATGAATGTGCTTTTAAAGAATAAAGTAGTTGCTCAGCAAACATTATAACTGCCATGACAAAGATCAGAAATGTGATAGAACGTGGAGCAAAGCTCACCCGTACAAAAATTCTCATTAAGAAATCCATGCTGGAAATTCCATTGAGAGACAGAAATATGAACACATGGGTCAGTCACACAAACAAAATATTAAAAAAACGCCATGTTGACGATTAAAACAAGTAAGCGGGGACTGGGCAAAAGACACCACGAGAAGGGATGATAGCAGATGTATGAGACCGGTGACAAAATGTCTGAAAAAGGAAAGTATATGCCCGAGCGGATGACCACTGCAGTGATGGAGTGATGACATCAGCTCATGTCCCAGAACGTGATGCATTGTGGCATCACAGGACCATGAGGGATAGTGTTGACATGGTGGGCCTTGGGGAGCGGGGTCATCCAGTAGTGGATAAAACAACAACAACAACAAGATATAGAGACAGATAATCCATAAACATAGGCAACATAGAACCGTAGATACCTTAGAGAAAAGACGCAACAGGGTCACATACGACATAGACAACACCAAGATACAGGCAACACAGAGATACGAGATATTGATATCACAGAGACACAGAAGACAGGGATGTCGCCTGCCCTGATGGAGCTTAGTGTGGTGTTCGATCCTGTCATCGGTGCCCACAGCTTGGTGTTGTTCTGTAGCTTCAGAACATTGGTTTACTCTCCTATAATTCTTGACTTAAAGCTTTCGTGACTGCAGGAATTCATACTCTTTGGGTCTTTCGGTAAAGTCACGTAGAAGAAGAATACAAAATCACGACGTTTCGATCGCAACACAAGCAATCGTCTTCAGGTGAACGAAATACAGCAGGCGAACTGCTCAGGCAGGAGAAATATAGCGAGAGAGCTACTGCAGCAAGAGGTTATATAGGTTTGAGATGGGTACAACCCAAGGGTACAGTGAGGGAAAAAAGTATTTGATCACCTGCTGATTTTGTACGTTTGCCCACTGACAAAGAAATTATCAGTCTATTATTTTAATAGTAGGTTTATTTGAACAGTGAGAGACAGAATAACAACAACAAAATCCAGAAAAACGCATGTCAAAAATGTTATAAATTGATTTGCATTTTAATAAGGAAAATAAGTATTTGACCCCCTCTCAATCAGAAAGATTTCTGGCTCCCAGGTGTCTTTTATACAGGTGTTGAGGAGTTCCCGACGACTCACTCGGAGGCTGAGGTAAGTTAAGGGCTTTCGCCAAAGGTTTATTACAAATCTTTAACAATACACAGGGGTGAACAACTTCCCAGGGGTTAGGGGTCCTGGGCTAGGTTCCGACACAGCCGGCTGCCCTGTGCTGTCTCCTCTGCGCCGGCCGTGGGATCAGCCAACACGGCCGACCGAGGAGCACAGCCACCTCTAGCCTGGCACTGTTCTCTCCCCTATCCCTGCCCTCTTGCCCCCTGGTTCCCTCTCCACCCTTCTCACTCTACCCGTTCCCACAGTGACCCCGCTTTCGTCACGGGGTCCCCCTTAAATACAAGAGGAGACATGACGTCATCGAGTCGCCCAGCACGCATGACGCCACGTTCCGTGACGTCATCGCACTGGACGGCACACATGACGTCACGTCCCCATTTTACTCCTCTACATT